AAAAAAAAAAAAAAAAAAAAAAAAAAAAAAACTGAAATTCTATAGTAGTACAGTAATGTACAGTAGTACATTTTAACATTCTTCATATATGGTAAACTTCACTTTCTTTTTCGCTTGAGGCACTCAGTAGAATTTATCACGTGCATTGTAAATCTTTATTCCTGTTACAAGAGTGTCATTAAAGGACTCAGAATGCAACAAGTAGACATGCAGAAAATCAAATCCTTCTTCAACAGCCCAGGAGAGCTGGTTAACAAATGGTTTACCAATTCCTGAAATTGTATTTCTTAACAAAACTTTCAGGATATGACCAAAGTAAATGGCTCTGAACTTACCCATTCTTAAGAGCCAAGTGAACAAATGTACTAAACCTCATCATATACATGCTTCAAAATCTTTGGGAGGAATAAAAATTTCTTAAAGGAAAAAAAAAGGACATGTGAAAAACAAGTCCCAACAGAATTCACTGAGAATGCAGTTCATATAACTATGTTTGACTAACCCTAAGCCTCTATGGCTTTCTTTTTGGCCACGTGGGGCGGCTTGCAGGATCTTAGTTCCCTGACCAGGGATCAAACCTGGGCCCTCGGCATTGAAAGTGTGGAGTCCTAACCACTGGACCGCCAGGGAATTCCCTCGGTGGCTTATTTTAACATTTCATCTTGAAGACTTTTTCCCCCCTTTCCCTCCCCATTCCACAACTTTTCCCATGTCTCCTTCTCCTTGTCCTCCAAAATCAAAGGAAAAAAACCAAAAAACAAAAATCCCAAACACACACTCAGATGGCCTTTCATTATTTTTGTTCCTATAAGCAGAAGCTGACTATGGAATTCACATCTAAACGATGTAGAAGAGGACAAAAGGGAAAACCCACAGTTATGTTCAGGGAGCTGTCTTACTAATAACTCGACAAACTGTGAAAAAAATCTAAGTTAAAAAATTGGGTGGATTCATAGGAAGGAGCCTAATCCCTCCCACTGGTCATACCATAGCAATAATGATTCAACCCAGAATCTAAGCAGATCCTCTGTGGGACTGCATATAATTTACAGTCCTCAGATATCATTAACACAGATCTCAATGGAAACCAGGAAACGATTCTCTCAAAAAACAGATAATTAGGTTGAATAAACGATTTAGATATTCCATGTTTACCTAAGAACTTAACCTCCTTTAAAAAGAAACCAGTTCTTTCAAAAAGAGCTCTGGATCCTGTCTATGGTTAGAAAGTTTGAAAAATTCTCAGAACTTGAGACATGATTTTCTCTTCTGTCTCCTCTTATGAGCAGATGCCCCTTTTCAGGTGATTTTCAGGTTGTACTGGCAGGACTAAGTGAGAAATACGGCTCCAGAGCCCACTCAATTTGTCTGAGTCCATATGTTTGTAGGAGTTGGGTGTATCAGAGTTGGTGAACTTGACTTTGAGGAAATCCCTCACTTTTTCTTCAATTTCCTTTAGGCCTAGACTGGTTCCAAGTGTCTCCTCCTCTAACAAGACAGTTAGGACTAAGGCTACATCTTTGAAGGCTGCATTTTCATGATCACAATACTTATAGAAGATCAAAGTAGAGCCTGCAGGCAGTGACTCAAAGCGGTGGACCACAGCTGCATTCTGGCCATTTTGGAATCCGTTGCTCAGTTTCTCATCTACCTCTTTTTTGACGACATCACTGTCTTGAGTTGCTTTGCCCGTCCCATCAATCCGGATTGCAGGAACACTTCGGAAGGAAGAATAGGCATCAGCAATTTGTTCACTCAGACACTTGAGTGCTTCTTCAGCATCTTGGGCAGCAGTGAGCAGCAAGATAGCAGGCTGAGGCCGAGGGTGGGAGCTATTAAGATGTTTCTTCAGGAATGTTAGGCTCCTTTTCCACAGATTCTCATCTTGACCTTGGTACTTATTCATAAGTTGCTTCATCTGGTTCTGGAACTCTTGAACAGCAGTGGTTTCTGCTTCAGGAGTACGAGTGTACCAAAAACACCCAATGAGAAGAGCAGCTATCAGAACAGGGGGCCACAACCACTTCACCTTGACAAAAGATGCACTTTTGGGTTGTCCAGTCACTTCTGCTCAGGAAAAAAAGAAATGATAGGCACAAATATTATTTTCTTAGATTCAAGAGCAAGTGACTTTTAAAGCCAATATTAATCTTTATAAACATTAGATAGGAAGGAATTTAAAGAAGGGAGCTGATAATTTGCTTTCTTAAAGAAATAATTTAGCACATGTGTTTTAAGTTACTTGTATGAGTATGCATATGTCTCTTCAATGTCAAAATGATAAAGAGACTTAGAGGAAAAAGTAGAATTTAAGTATATGTAATGGCATGTGCAAGTCAGAAAGAATACAATTTATAAAGCAAAACTATTATTACTACTGCTAATATTTGGGAGGTAAACAATATTAAAAGACACTTTACAAAATAGTTTTAAATTTAGAAACTAACATGGATTATTATCCAAGGTGGAATGTTTATGTATATAAAGGAATAAAGAAAAGGATGCATTATAAGTGAAATCTTCCATATAACAGCTAGCTGTCCCTTTAATTGCACTGATGCCTATCTTTTGCTGTATGCAAGTTAACACTGGTAAGCCTTAGTTTGCAACTCATTCCTAATTATTACTGGCAATGATGATATGAATTTACATTTACCTAGTGCTTTTCAGTTTAAGCACTTTCTCATATACCACATCATTTAATAATTTAATATGACAGCAACAGTATTTTTACACTTTCTATTTATTGACTGCTTTAGACTAATAATTGGACCATGGACCCTCTAGAGCAACAGTTCTCAAAGTGTGGCTGGTGGGGTATCTCAAGATCTCTTCAAGGGGGTCCTTGAGGTTAAAACTATTCTCCCGACTCTAAGATCTTATTTGCCTTTTTCCTCCATATTGACATCTGCACTGATGGTGTAAAAAGCCATGGTAGGAAAAATAACTGATGCTTTAGATGAATCACAGGGAGTAGCACCAAACTAGGACTGTCTTTGTATTCTTCATGGCCATGTATTCCAGGTTATCAGTTTCACTTAAGAACATCCTTCATGAAGCATTTAAAAGAATTTATCTTATTAGAACTCAACCTTGAGTAGAAATCTTAACGTTCTATGTGAAGAAATGGGACATATATATAAAGCACTTCTGCTACATAGAACAGTATATGGCTGTCTCAAAGAAAAGAACTTTGTGCAACTGAGTTGTCAGCTGAAATAGTGCTTTTTTCATAGAATTTTTACTTGAAAAGACAAGTGACAAACTGGTTAGTCAGACTTTCATATTTGGGACACTTTTCCTGGAAAACGAACACTGTGAGCCTGTTGTTTTCAAGAAAACAACTGACTGGGACTTCCCTGGTGGTTCAGTGGTTAAGAATCCGCCTGCCAATGCAGGGGACGCGGGTTCAATCCCTGGTCTGGGAAGATCCCACATGCCATGGAGCAACTAAGCCTGTGCGCCACAACTACTGAGCCTGCGCTCCAGAGCCCGCGAGCCACAACTACTGAAGCCCGCGTGCCACAACGACTGAAGCCTGCGCACCTAGAGCCCATTCTCTGCAACAAAGAGAAGCCACCGCAATGAGAAGCCTGCGCACTGCAATGAAGAGTAGCTCCTGCTCACCGCAACTAGAGAAAGCCTGTGCGCAGCAAAGAAGACCCAATGCAGCCAAAAATAAATTAATAAATAAATTAACCCCCCCCCAAAATCCCCAATATATTTTAACAGTTTGAATACAGAAGCAGAATGAAACTCCAGCTCCATTTTATTAAGCCAGGCATTAGAGATCAGAGAAAATACAAAGCAATCTACCACACTCCTTACTAAATTATTTAAAAATAACTAACAAACATTAAAAATTTTTTTTTACAATTTTAATCTCTAGGTAAATATGGACAGGTATAACTCATATATATATATTTTTAAGTCTCTTTTTAAAAAAGATCTCTGGGGTTCTTATTAATTTTGCTAGTGGAAAGTGGTATTGAGACCAAAGAATCTGAGAATCACTGTTATTTTCTTAGTACTCTTTCAAGATAATAAAAAGGCTTAAAGAACTAAAGAAACTTGCCCCGAGGCTATACAGAAGGTAAGTGGTCCAAACTAATTCAAATTCAGGTCTGTGAACTCTAAAAAACTATGGTATCCCCATTATGTCATGCTATGTGCATCTTTCTTTTGACAACAAGGTTCACTTGGTTAACAGTGTTAGTTGCTTTACTTGTTAACTTTCACTTTTGGTCTTATGGATAATAAAGTAAAGGGGAAAGCCAGATGTTTTTTTCACAGAGTTTGTCCTTAAAGACTTTTACTGCTGGTAAAATATATACTTTTTCTTTTGAAGTACTTAAAATATAATTCTTCAAATAGCATGAAGTTCTTTGGTGTCAAAAATTTAAAAATCATTATGTTCACCAATTTTAGAGACTCATTTAATGAAAGCTGAGAAGACAAACTTACGTTGGCTGGAGGTTGATGGAGATTGGTTTCCAAGCTCTGATTTCTGAACACCGTCATCTAATGATAGGAGTAATAAAGACTATCAATTTATGTTTCATAATTTCAGTATTTCCAACAGAAAAAGAAAATACAAATTTCACCAAGAGAAAATAAGGAAGAGATCTGTCAGAAACAGAAGAAAAAGCAGAAGATTCAAGTGTCTATTAGACTGACAGCTGCTTGAGACACAAGTTGGATTTCTTTCATAATTAATATAATGGTCGAGTACAAAGCATACTCTTAACACATTAGTTTTGTGAGAAAGCCTTGAAGAACTTGACCCAAATTATTTAATGGGAGTGGTGAAACTTCTGGGACAAAGTTAAGAGGACAAAGAAAATAAGCACAACTATAATAAAAGGAAACAAATAATACCATCTGAAAAATTGCCATATATCGAACGCTTGCCTGGTGATGATGCTGTAAAGAGGGAAAGAAGGACAAAATATGATTATGGATTACTGAGCTCTCTGGATAAGGGGTTTTAAGGTAAAACTCAATCTTAATCTTCACTAATTTCTACCTCAAACTGATTCAAATACGTCCTCTGGTGCTTCTGACCATTTCAAATATCAGTAATATTTTAGAAATTACACTGAAAAACTTTTCACCATTTCTGGTAATAGACAAGTAATTGTTTTAGCTTTGTGGTTAAACAACAGATTTCAAAAATAATTTTCCCACAACTCCATCAAATCTCTATTTCCATCATACTTTAGAAAACAACTGAAAAGCTCTTTCCTTTTCCTCTCCGTCCTCCTTGGCATAGCCATCTAAGAGACAGGAAATGGAACGACAGAGTTCAGGAAGGGAAGAGGCTGAGTTACTCACTTGTATGATCTACATTACCAATACTGTCATCTAGCACTTGCCTGGAGTTTTATAACTTTATGTGTATAAGTGATCTTCCTAGTATTTATCAACAGTTTTCATTTGAGAAACACTGGACTAAACTGGAGGAATAAAATTAGCATTGCTAATTTATTTATTTTATATATATTTTTACAGAAATAGTCTTATTTCTGGTCATATGACAAAAAACCTCAAATGAAACAAAATGACATCAACCTTAACTCTAAAGGCATATTCTTTTGCAATTACTAGGTTAGTCTAGGAAATGGCATCATTTAGGAGCTTCAAAGTTAGGTAACCAAAGTTAAAAGTGTCTTACTGAAAAAACAAAAATTTCCATCAGATAATGTTTATCTTAAATACCTCATTCCATGGTTGCAAAGATCAAATGAGATAATATATGAAAATGCTGTGAAGTGCATGATGATATTAATAATGGAGAATAGCTAAATAATAGTTATTATGAAACATATGTAACATTCATATAACTCATAAGAACATAAAATTAAGAAAACAAAATTAACACAAACAAAATTAAGAAAAACTCCCATTTACAACAGCATCAAAAGAATAAAATATTTAGGAATAAGATTAACCAAGGAGGTAAAAGAATTATACACTGAAACCTCTAAAACACTGATGAAAGGAATTAAAGCAGACATAAGTAAATGGAAAGACATCCCATGGTCATGGAATGGAGAATTAATATTCTTAAAATGTCCATACTACCGAAAGCAATCTACAGGTTCAGTGCAATCTGTATCAAAATTCCAATGGCATTTTTTACAGAAACAGAAAACAATCCTAAAATTCATATGGAACCACGAAAGACCCCAAATTTGAAAGGCCAAAACAACTTTGAGTAAGAAGAACAAAACTGGAGGCATCACACTTTCTGATTTCAAAATATATCACAAAGCTAGAATAATCAAAACATTATGGTACTGCCATAAATACAGACATATAGACCAATGCAAGAGAATAGAAAGTCAGAAATAAACCCATGAAGATATAGTCAACTGATCCTCAACAAGGGTGTCAAGACTACACAATAGCAAAATGATAGTCTCTTCAGTAAATGGTACTGGGGAAACTGGATATCCACATACAAAGAATGAAATTGGACCCTTATACCATACACAAAAATCGACTCAAAATGGATTAAAGACTTAAGTTAAGAATTGAAACAATAAAACTCCCAGAAGAAACATGGGGAAAAAGCTTCTTGAAGTTGGCATTGACAATGATTTCTTGGATATAACAACAAAAGCACGGACAACAAAAGTAAGTTTGATGGGATTACATCAAACTTAAAAGGCACATGACTTATGTGATCAAAATCACAATGAGAAATCACCTCACATTATCAAATGTATTGTGGCTATTTTTGAAAAAACAAAGGTGCAAGGTATGTGGAGAGGATGTGGAGGAAAGAGAATCCCTGTACACTGTTGGTGGGAATATAAATTGGTGCAGTCACTATGGAAAAGAATTATGGAGGTTCCCCAAAAGGTTAAAAATGGACTACCATATGATCCGGCAATCCCACTTTTGGATATATATCCAAAGGAACTGAAATTGCGATCTTGGAGAGATATCTGCACACCCATGTTCACTGCAGTAATATTCACAATAGCCAAAACAGGGAAGCAAACTAAATGTCCATTGACAAATTAATGGATAAAGAAAATGTGATGTATTTATACATATATATGTATACACACACATACACACACAATGGAATTATTATTCAGCTTTAAAAAAGAAGGAAATCTTGCCACTCTGGACAACATGGAGAACATTATCCTAATGAAATAAGTCAGATAAAGATATGCAAATACTTCATAATATCATTTATGTGAGGAACCTAGTCAAATTCATAGAAACCATAGGTGGTTTCCAGGGCCTGGGGGAGGGGGAAATCAGGAGATATCAGTCAAAGGGTACACAGTTTCAGTTAAATGAGATGAAAAAATCCTAGAAATCTACTGTAGAGCATAGTACCTATATTTATTGTCCTGTATATTAAAAATTTGCTACGAGGGTAGATCTTAAGTGTTCTTATCACACACATAATAATAAATAAAGAGGGTGGGAGAAAACTTTTGGAGGTGATGGATATGTTCACGGCATAGACTATGGTGATGGTTTCACAGGTATATACTTATCTCCAAACTCATCAAGTTGTATACAGTAAATATGTAAGTTGTATACATTAAATGCATGTCAATCACAGATGAATTGATAAAGAAGATGTGGTATATATATAATCAATGGAATATTAACCATAAAAGAGAATGAAATAATGCCATTTGCAGCAACACGGATGGACCTAGAGATTATCATACTAAGCGAAGTAAGTCAGAGAAAGACAAATACCATATGACATCACTCATATGTGGATTCTAAAATATGACATAAATGAACATATCTATGAAAGAGAAACAGACTCACAGACACAGAGAACACACTTGTGGTTGCCAAGAAGGTGGGGGTAGGGGAGGAATGGACTGGGAGTTTGGGATCAGCAGATGCAAACTATTTTATATAGGATGGATAAACAACAAGGTCCTATTGTATAGTACAGGGAACTATATTCAATATCCTGTGACAACCCATAATGGAAAAGAATATGAAAAATAATATATATATGAATAACTGAATCGCTTTGCCATACAACAGAAATTAACACAACATTGTAAATCAACTGTACTTTAACAAAATATTTTAAAAACCAAAATGAATGTATGTCGATCATACTTCAATAAAATAGTTTAACCTACAGTTAAAGAGTATGTGAAACAATTTAGAAAATAAATCCATCAAGATAATGTTTATCTTGAATACTTTAATCCATGGTTGCAAAGATCAAATGAGACAATACATAAAAATGTTAAGTGCTCTTCTATGATGATTTTAATGATATAGAATAGATAAGTAACAGTTATTATATACCATATGAAATATTTATATAATTTGAAGAACTCAAACTTAGTAGGGTATATATACTGCTGAGGCAACACACTGTCTAAAAGGTAAACTTTATCGTTATTAAAAATATTTTTAGAGACAGTAATAAAAATTCCATTAAAAAAGATCTTTTTAAAAAGATAAAGCTCAGAGTTTTTCTAGTATGAAGAGTATGGTAACAATCAATCACTCTATAAAGTCAAAAGCAGAGGGCATGAATCTTTCATAGTTATTACTACTGATTATTACACAATATATTGTTAACAATAAATAAGCATTAATTATTTATGTGGTACATTTAGACTTAAAAAACTGTGTTCACATATATAATAAGCTCATTAGAATAACCTAGTTATAGGCACTATTGTCCCAACTTTAAAATTAAGAAAGCTGAGGTTCACAAAGTTTAAGAGACTTTACCAAGATGACTCAATTAGTAAGTAGAAGATCTGGGACTGGAATCCAATAGCTCTAACTCCAAACTCTCCTCTTTTCTCTACACCACTTTTAGAGACAGGTTCCAAAGCATGTATATTAATGAAGCACAGACTCAGAGGCCCCACTGTTTTATCATCTGGGACACAGCAAAAGTATAGACAGTGGTTCTATCTTTCCCCAAAGATCTGGATACAGGCAGAAACCTGAACTGGGACCTGTCTACCCAGAGAACTGGTACTAACATAGGGTGATAATGATCTGAAATCCAGGTTCTTGAACACCCAAATCTAAAAATGAATTTATTTTCTCACTGAAGCAGGCAGAAGTGTATAGTTAAGACAAAAAGATACGAAACTTGGAATGCCAAGGAAAAGTTTTTTTCAAATGATGTTAGATTGAAGAGAAATCTATAAGGCTGTTTGGAAATCACTGCAATCTTCTACTCTGATTGAAAATTCTTTCTTCTTATATTAAAGTCCTTCTGTGGTCAAAAATCTAAAAAAATTTGTTACCTGCACCCGAATGTGCAAATTTCTGCTATATAGTTTCTCTTTAACTCTGGAAGTCCTGTATATATGGTAGATGGCTATCAACCAGTATACAACTATTTAAGCCATAACAAATATACAAACTTAAGACAAAACAGGAATACAGAGAAAACACTATAAATGAGCTATCAATTTAGCAACCATAAAGATCTATTTCTGCATTCCAGCTAGACCTTCAATATAATTATTTTCCCTTCTGCATTGCATTTGTACAGTGTCTTAACAGAGGACAATGCAAACATTTTTTGACAACAATATGTACTACACTTCACTTTTCTGGAAGTAATTTATCTGCTATTAGTTACCCAGAATATATAGTTAAGAACTAATAACATCATAAAACTCTGAGCTTTTCATAGTATATACACTTAAACTCATGCAGTTTTGCTTCCAAGAGTAATTCTTAGATCTTCAGAATGTTTTAATTTTTTTTTTTTTTTTTTGCGGTACGCGGGCCTCTCACTGTTGTGGCCTCTCCCATTGCGGAGCACAGGCTCCGGACGCGCAGGCTCAGCGGCCATGGCTCACGGGCCCAGCCTCTCCGAGGCATGTGGGATCCTCCCGGACCGTGGCACGAACCCATGTGCCCTGCATCGTCAGGTGGACGCTCAATCGCTGCGCCACCAGGGAAGCCCCAGAATGTTTTAATTTTTGATACTGGTTATAACCATAATCTTAAAAAGCTGAATTAATATTTGGTTTCCTAACTATAATAGGTCAAGAACAAATTTTAAGAGGAAATGGTCTTCTAATAGCAAGTATATACAGCAATAAGAAATGACAGCCAGGGAATTCCCTGGCGGTCCATTGGTTAGGACCCTACGCTCTCACTGCTGAGGGCCCTGGTTCGATCCCTGGTTGGGGAACTAAGATCCCACAACCTGCGAAGCATGGCCAAAAAAAAAAATAACAGCCAACAATAAGGCGAGGGCAAAAAGTTATTTCAGTTTTAGACTGCTGAAGAACTCACTTACGTGTACGGTAATACTTCACTGCTGGGGAAAAAATGAATTGCAACCATTACTACTTTACTGATAGAAAAACAAAGCCACAGAGGTTATCTTGTCCAATTACAGTTAGTTATTTCGTGAGCAAGAGCTATATGATGGGGATTTTTATATTATCTAAATAAAAGTAAGGGACACCTGGATGACCTCGAGACCTACCGTGGCTACATGAGTAAGGAAGGGATAGAGGTTAAAGGTCACTTAAGGCATGGCATGGATTTTTTTATACAGTCAGGGTTTAATGTGTACACACTGCTATAGAAATTATGATAGACACTGAATTCAAAGTATGTTTTATCGCACCTATTTATTTCTTAAATATTTCTTAAATTCTATGACATTTAATCCATCCTAAACACAAACATGAAAATACAATTTGAGGATTTCAGCATTTATAACTTAAAATAGTGGGTATGCAAAGCTGCTCTAAGTTGTTATTTATACAACGGTAAACAAGTGTTAAAAATAAAAACAGGCACTATCAAAAGATTAGAATTTCATTTTCATGTGCAGATTGTACTGCTGCTAGACAGAACTGACAACTTGTCAAGTACACACCTATCATCCACTGGTTTTCTCACACCATGATTCTACACTCTACACCCAGTCCATCTCCTGCCAGTCCAAGTAGATGGAAATAACTAAACTAGCAATCATAAATGTCCTTTATTAATGAGATCACAAGCAACCCAAATGCTTATCTGATGAACTAAACAGTTTTATATGTTAAATAGTCAAAAAAACAGCAAATAAACTATTACTTCAATAACAGGTAGTAATTTAAAAATTTCTTCAATAACAGGTAGAGATTTACCAACTTACTTTGCATCCTAGTCCTCATTCTTGTGGTTTGTTCAACCCATTCCTGAGGATTTTTTTGATATCCCGAGCCTGAGACAAATATATATATCAAGATATCATTTCACATACTTTGAAAATGTATACTATACCTCAGTGTTATAAGGTAAATTTATCAGAAAGGCAAAACAAATTTGGCGAGGAAAACAACCAAAGCAATAGGTTCAAAAGTAAAAGATAATGTCAAAGGATCACATCAGTGAGGATGAATTACTTCCCACAGCAAAAAAGGCAGCAAATAAATACATAATCTCCTAATAGACAAAACTATGTACAAGTCCTTTGCTATGGTCTATGACTGCATTTATTAACACTTGAACTTCATTAACACTTTGGTGTTAATTAACAAGAAAAAGGTTAACCATTTACTTTTGTAAATAAATTATTTTCAGTAAGGCAGTCCTAAACACATTTCTACATCACAGAGTACCAATATTACATAGAGTATCAATTTGTGGTTGATTAAAAGGCAAAGAGGGTAAAATGACTTTGAATTCTATTCAAATTTTTGCTGGCTAGTAAGACTGGGTTGATTGATAAAAGAATAGACAACCAACCACTTACTTAGCACTAATGGTTGCTTATCAAAAGCTGTGAAGTCTCGACCTGAAACAGAAAACAGAGATAAAGTCATAGAAAATAAAGAACAGAAATAAAAACAATGAAGATGTTGCATAAACATTTTACTTGTTTACTACTGACACCAAAAACAAAAACAAAAAAAATCAAACCTTTCTTTCATCAGTCCCAAACATATACAATATATATGTATTTTCCCTTTTCTAAACTTCAAAATGTTCAGTAATTGGATAATAAGAAGCCAGCTTTAAGAGCAACGCCATCAAAATAAAAGCTAAATGTACTGAATGCTTACCAGGTACCAAGTATAATTTTATCAACTCTCACACTTTATGTGGTAGATACTATTATTCCTATTTTACAAATAAGTAAACTGAAATTGATAATTTTCCCCAAGATTACATATGTAAAAAGTAGTAGGACTGAGATATAAACCCAGGCAGTTCATATATAACGGTATATACTATATAAGCAAATTTGTGAACACTGCAAAGTAGTTATGCAGTGCAAGATGCTCCTTCATGTTTTGGGATGGTATTTAAGGACAACTATAAAATGATACAATGGGATAATTAGAAAATGTTATTACAAACAATTATAACATGGTAAATTTGCAAATCTGCCCTGAAGAAACAAGTTACTTCTAGTTACTGATACAAGTACCAATATAAATTTATGTTCAACTTATTTTCTGACTAAAAATGCAGTATGTGCTGGCTGTAACAGAAATACACCATTCTAGAAATGCATAACCTAAAAATTCATTAATATCTATTAAGTGCCTATTACATGCAAAACATTGTAGGAAAACCGTGGTGAATAAGACAGATGTATATTCCAGATTTGTTTTCAGTCTACACTAACAAAGAACTTTTTAAAAAACTAGACACACTTTTCTGTATTGTCTTTCATTGACACTGTGAAGTAATTTTTTAAAAACACCTTTGCTTTAGGGCTGCATCTTAGAATCAGTGATATGACACAGTTTAACTGGATGGTTTTCTTTCTCAGTAATACATAAAAGCAATGGCATTTTAGATTCAAGGAAATATATACCTAATTGTATACAAACAACTCATTTTCCATAACTGAAAAGTATACCATTGCATAAGTATAGCATAATTAATATAGGGACACACATTTCAGAGTTTCCAAAGATCAAAGGTTTAGAAAAACAAAGGGCAAACATATAAGATAATCCAGGGAGTAATTTTCCATAAATGACTGATTTTTGTTTCACCTGCTTTTGTTTTGTCTCAGTTTTAATTCCAAACCCAGAACCTACTAAAAAAAAAAAAAAA